GATATGTTTTGTGCGGGGTCCCATCGTACTTCAGCACAATTGTGCTGGATGTCATCCACATCCAGCACAAAATGAAATTTTACTTCTACATTGTAAGTCTGGTAAATCATTCTTTCTTACTTCAAAACGACCCCCCTAAATGTCCATGCCGCACCCAAATTTTCACAAGGTTTTGACGCTGACAGTCGAAAAGGTTGGTCACAACACCAGCAGCTCCAAATACACCGCAGCACAAAGTTCGGCCGAGACCACACGGGGGGTGGTTTGTGATGGATGCCAATGGCATTGCTCACAAAAGCCTACCAGCCTGAGCCAAATCAGACTGCCTGAAAAACATTTAGCACAAGAACACATATTGGTTCAAAACAGGTTGGTTTTAGTGATGGATGCCAACAGCTTCCATCACAAACACATCCCTTCACACCAGGTTCCTGGTTGTGCAGAAAAAAAGTCTCTCGAACATAGACTTGGCGCAAATGTTACCCTCACAAATCACACCATCAGCCTTCAGCGATGGCAGCATCAAACGCTTCTGTCACTATGTTCCACGCTGTATTAAACTCAACTCCTTCCGTCCACAGTTTGGCCACAGCCCTCTGGATGTGGTAGCTCTTCCTCTTTACTCGGTATTTGTCCAACACGACCTTGTCCAGTCTTTCTGCGCGCAACGAGAGCTCGTTCGGATCCTTGCGCGTTTCAGGGTCCACGCTGCAAAAGAGTACCAATCACAAAAATAGATTCTTTTGGGAGTTGTAGTCAGGCCTGGTTTGGCAAGCAACCGAAAATTGAGTGGTGAACTGACGGGTGAACCCCCACCGTTTCAGAAAGAACCACGTTATCATGAACAAACAAAAGTATTTCAAACACGTTGGTGGCAAGAAGCCGCTTCCAGATTGCGGCCACCGTCGGCAGTCCCTGGCAAGCCACGCCCCACACTTGGTCCGGGAGCACCAAAGCACCTGTGCACATCTAGCAGCGGAGCTTCCTCCAGCGTTCCCTGGATCAACCCTTCAAGGTAGTCTGCTGCTGCTTCCATTGAATATGGGTACTGGCCTCAACGGCGGGCGCAACGGCGATGTGAAGGGAAGTGCAACAGGTGTTGGAGAAGTCAGCAGGGCCTTGTCATAACCACACCCCAAACCTGACCAGCTACAGACTTACATTCACGCAGCTTCTGTGGGCGTCCTCTTGCACACTCGTGAAAAA